TGTAACACCGTCACTCAGATGCGTCACTGAGTCTTTTGGAACTTGGAGACGCTTGACATTCAAATTCTGCTGCCCTCCAGCTGCTGGTCTTGCTGATGTTGGGCAGTCGGTGCATCCCATGGAGATAGTGCCTTCTTTTTCTCTTGCAGACTCCTCTGATGCTGACAGATTGGAAAGGTTCTTTGACTCAGAAGATGAAGACTTCGAAATCCTGTCCCTTTGAAAACCAATAGGAAACTGACTCTGCAAATTTGTGTTATGTGTGGGGAGAAGGGGGGGAGGGAAGCTCCTTCGAGAGCCTGGGGCTACCGGTTTTCATAGGCGCTTGCTGCCATCCCCGCCTCTTGTCCATCCTGGCATTCTGTGCAGCCTCTGAGCGGAGTGCCCGTGGTCTGCATTGGGATGAAGAACTGGGTGTTACAGCCTTACTGGCTGGAGTCGGAATTTCTCAGCAGAAAACAGTTGCTGGAAGTGGATGCAGTGGTGCTTAGGAGTTCAAAGCCTATCCGTTCCATCAGCAGGTCAGTTGGCCTTCTGGGGGAGGCATAGAAATCGTTAGAGCGCTAAATCCTTTCATGGGGACTCCCCTCTGAAGCTTAAATAGAGCTACCCATCACTTAGCAGGTGAAATGTACAGTTAATTCCTTTAGCAGCTTCTCTTCTCACTGGCCAACTTGGACTGCAGCTCACAACGTCAATGAATGGCAGACGTGTCCCAAGGGACGGCTGTGAAGCTCCTGGTCTGCAAGTGGCCGGGCTTCCTACAGTACAACTCCTGTTCATGCTTTGCTTCCTCACAGGTGTAATGTCCCTCTTCTCCTCACATCCTCTGAAAAAGGAAGTTGAGGGACCTTACAAGTGACTGGTAGTTCATTAAGTGGAAGGCTGGCTGGGAAAGTGTGAAGCAGAGCCATGCTGCTGGGTAGGAACATCTTGATCTCAGTTGAACTAACGGCAGAAAGAAGGGAAGGAGAGTAGAAAATGTGTGCGTACTTGCTCAGCGAGTCGATAAAGCATTGCGCTTCTGCAATGGATTGATGTCTACAGCAAGTATCTCCAGGAATGCTGCTTCAAGTGGAGAACTGGATCCTATAGCCCTGGAAAAAACAAAGTCCACAGCTGGGAGCAGTGGAACAACTGAGATCTGCCAGTGGTGTGCCTGTACCCAGAGTGCTGGTGTGGTGTCTGGGGAATGAATCCTGTCAGTACCAAAAACGTGAGCTATAAAATTCCTCAAGGTGTCCTTGGTGGGGTGTTCAGCAGTTCCTCCAGCTACTCCTGTTACACATTCCCTTCTCAAAGGAGAAGAGGTGCCTGAAGGTCGAGTAGGCTTCCTAGCTGCGTCTGTACCTTTCGTCTTCTGCCAGCTCTCCCTTCCTGCAGAGCGTGCACAAAGGTGCCGTCGGAGCTAACCCCGAGAAACCCTTTTCAAGTAATCATCCCAAAGAGGGCACTGAAGACAAGAATGACTCGAGAAGGTCCTATTATACTGGAAGTTTTAGGATGATAGCCCTGCCTGAGGCCCTTCACACAGAATTTGGAGAAAGGTAAAGTGTGGAGGAGAGTTGTCTTCATGCAAACTGCAACAGAAGTTGCTGAAGTAGTTTCCTTAGTGCATGCTGCAGATTGCAGACCTGTTTACAAGGCTTTGTTTTGTACATTTAGGATGGGAACCTCTCAGTTGATGCGTTTGTGCCCAAGGGTGGTGACAGCTGGCTAGAAATGACCCGTTTCCCCCACAACTGACCTGCTGATGCTCTAACTACCCCTGTCCTATCCAAAAGCAGAGGTTTGAACTGGGAACCACGATGCTTCTGTCACTAAATTATTATTTGCTGCTTTCTGCCTGCTTCTTCTCTTCTCTCTTTGTAGTCAGGGGAAGAGGCAGCAGAGGAATTGGGGCTGTGCTCCATTCATCTGCTTTCAATTTGTATCTGAATAAACAGATCTAAAATCTTTGTCTGTCTCCATGTTCTTGCAGGTGAATTGAAGGTGGTGGTGGGTGGTATCTGTCAAAATGATCAGAATTTTTACCCTTTTAGGGCAATGAAACCTTGAGCTATGTGTGACAGTGACTTTATCTTCCTTTTGTCATACCCCAGGGGATAGAGGCTGGCTGCTTGGGACTGCCAAGTTGCTGCTGCCCCAGAGAGCGAGCACCTGCAGACATGCTGACAGAAAAGGGGAAAAAAACACCTTCCATAGCAATTCTGCTACTTGAATTTTAAGTTTGCGTGAATGTGGAGCAACAAAACAATACCTGAAGGCTGTCCCTGCTAGAACTGCATAAGCCCCTCCACAACAGGATGCGCTTTATTGGTGACTGCCATGTGTGCTTTTGAGGTAGGGGGAAATGAGCACATAGGTGGAACTTGAAACTTGTTTCCTTTAAGATTACATGCCCACTGTTCAGCTCCTTACCTGGTGGCTTTTCATAGCATCAGGGCCCAGGTGGTTCTTTGAACACCAGGTGTGCAGTAGTAAACGTGCAGGCAGCTGGTTTGTGGTGCAGTGGCAGGACACAGCTCCTGACTGGGAAGGCTGTACCCTCTGTTGCCATCAGCAGGTCCTTTCTGTTGAGGGCCAGTCGCTTGGGATGCATCTCCTTGATTTGTACCTGCTGTTGCTAACCAGATCTTCAGCCAAAAACGTTAACTGCTTACTTTGTGTTCATGCTTTATGGTTAAGGACAGCTCAGCCAGACAAGATTTTACGTGTGTGAACACAATCCCAATGACAGAGCTAAGCTCAGCTTCCTTAGATCTTTAACAGGTATTTCTGGCTTTTTAGTCAGGAACCTAAAGCTAGTATGAATTAAATTACTTCTCTGGGTGTTGTAGAATTGTTGCAGGGGGCTGAATCAGCATTAGAGTTGCTTGCCTCCTTCATGAGTGTTCCTGCTGTGCAGGTGCAGACTGAAGGCTGTGGCTTTTTCCATTTTGGCTGATGCTTGCACTAGCAATTTTGCTTTAAACATTTACCTTCCCTTCCTGCTAGTGGATCAGTTCAATCTGCCTCTCTCTCCAAGAGTTAGAGCAGGATTTAGTCCCTGTATCAGCCAGCTTGGAGATCAGTCCAGTCCTCACTGCTAGAAGATGAATTAACTGTCTAGCAGGTAGAGACATTAAATGCAGTGAGCTGGAAACAGGAAACTGACTCAGCAGATGAATGACAAGTGGAGTTTTTTATTTTCTACCTCTACTTTTATAGCTAGAGATAAGAACCCGACTATGCAGCCGATCAGGATGTTCACATACTACAGCACTTTCCCATCCATCATTCCCATACTTTGTGGCCAGGTGCTCCAAGACCGAGATCTCCTGCCACACACCACGCAGACTGTTCAACCAGTGTTCTGGTCAGGATAACCCAGGCACACAGTGCTTTGTGTAGTTTTGAACTCCTACTTTTAGGCTGACCCAAGGTCCTTAATAACAACATTGTTTAGTCTTTTAAAGATTGCCTTTGTATAAATCTCAGCTGCCTTTTATTCTCTTAATAATGTTCTCATGGGAATCCCAGCTTCTGCAGTGCCTTGGCTTGCAGCCTGTTGATGTTTCTCCACCATTAACTCCCCTGGTCATCCCTGTATCTCAGCGCACCTTTCAAATGATTTAATGTTCCAGTTTATCATAGCTTTACTGCTGATGACATAGAAGGTCATAGCTGGTCTGGTTTGGCAGCCTGTGCTGGGCTCTTTAAAATGCACTGGGGTCTGTGTAGGACTCAGATGACTGCTCCTCTGATCTTGGCCACAGGAGGAACTTGGCCAATTTAAAACAATTTATGTGCCACTCACCCTTCAAACTGGTCTTGTTGTAAGCTGATACATCCATGTCAGTCTTACGTGCTCATAGCAGTTCAGGTTTCTTATCGTTCTCACTGAACAGCTGGGGAGCAGACGTGAATTCACCTCTCTCTTCATTCCACAGCTCTAGCAAACCACTCTCCCTGGATTTAGTGCTTGAACTGTGGCACATTCACCTCCTATACATCCTTCTAGAAGATAAATGATCATACTGAAAAGAAAAACAACCAAGCAACCAAACTGGTGCACACTGTTTAAAATAATAATTTATTAGCAAGTCCTCTACAAATGGATTTGAGCACAGGGGATGCGTTTTACTAGAGGCAGAAGAACCAGAAACATGGCAGTTCCCCAAAACTGGGAAGGCTGTTGCCTGCCTGTTGCTGCTGCCCATGTCCAGGGGCAGCCCTGGGCTCCACACCCCATCTGCACTACTGGACTGGGCTACAAGAGCTCCTACTTGCGGTAGGGAGGTTTTTATAAGGAATTTGTTGCCTGGTCATTGTGTATTTGTTTATAAAATACAGCAGTGCCCATGCAGGCTGGAGGGGAGGTGCAGATAAAATCACACGGACATCAGCACTGTGCTGGACCCAGAAGCAAGCAAGGGATCAAAGCTGTAGGTACTGGAAGGAGATGTAGAGGAGTCGCCCACGTGGTGCGTTTTCCCTTAGGTCTAAAAGGATAACCTGTATAAAGTTTTATTTCCAGAGTTCTCCTAAAGGTTTGTTCTGAACCTCCTGCATGGTTTCCTCTGCAACAGACTTGATTTCTTTGTGCAAGTCTTCTATGCTCTTTGAAGCATCTATTGCCTGTTTCCAAGAGAAAAACAACACACAAACATGTTCCTCAGTTTCCAACACCAAATGAGAAAAAAACAACCTTGCTGTTATTTCTGCTCCACCCTTTACTCAATGTCGTTACTATTCATGAGTAGTGAAAGGATCTAATTACACCTCCTGTGCACTATTTCTGCACTGGGATTGGAAAAAATCTGTTTTATTCAAGAAGAAACATTTAAGAAGTAGATGTGGGGCTGGATGAAGGGAAACAGCAGAAACTCCTGCTGCTGCCCATTGTTTGCTCACAGAGTTCAGGGCATATGACCTGAAGAGGGTAAACAATCTTCATCCTGTACCTTAGTCCCCCAGAATGATCAGTGTTCTGATCCTTCAGTGGTTCTGCAAAATGAACCCCACCCATGAGAGCAGGAGCCTCTAAAAATCCATCAGGCAACGGTCCAGTTTCAGATTTGTTGTTTGGTTTTTTAACACTGCAAGTTGAGATCAGTAAAGGTGGCAGCTCTTTTGCAAAACCAACTGACCAAAAATCTTCCCCCTCAACCCCAATGGGGCTCGTAGGGTGTCCTGGAACAGGGAGGGGTCCTCACAGCCAGTGCCCTTGGCTGGTCCCCCTGACCAGACACAGGAAGGGGGAAGCACAGGCATGCAACGGGAACAATTTGGGAGCTCTCATGAGAGACCCCCACCCTGGTCTGTGACAGGCCCATTAGGGTTATTTCCTCACCTTCCAGTTTAAAGTCTTGTCCTTCATCAGCTGATAGAAGGACTGCAGAACTTTCTCTTGGAAGGAGCTGTTCTCGTAACGTTCATTTCCAAAGTTCCCGCGTTCTGCTGCTTCTTTTGGGCTTAACTGAAGAAACAGAATCAGATCTGGCTTTGGGAGTCCAATGTCAGGCTGTTTGCACCAGTCCAGGCAGAGGTTCTGTCCCAAACAAACACAACCCAGTTTGAAGTGAAAGAAATACAAAGAAGGGAAAGAAGCCAGTTAGCTGAAGAGGGTGGTGGAGAAGGAACAGCCAGAAGAAATACAGCCCAAAACATGAAGCACGGGCCTACAAACTGAAAATAAGCTATCCCAGCTTATCAGGTGGGGATTCAGTCCTGGGAACTGCAGGGGGCACATTTTGCTAGGTGCTGTGCACCTCTCAGGGTCACTGAAGTCAAAGAGAACTAATGATTTACCAACTCTTCTGCAGAGCCCATCAGAGCTAAATACTAAGTCATATTCTGAGTCTCCATACAGCTGTTACCAGTCCAAAAGCAAGCTGCTCCCAAACACAAACACCACACACCTTCAGTGTGGATCTTCCTGGACCCATGGAGACTCCTTTTCAAATACCTACCTTGCCCTTTCTCAGCTTACCCAGCAAATTCAGCCCAGACACAAGAGACAAAGCTTTTCAACTTCCGGATCTTGTTGATGGATTTGAAGACTTTGATCTTCACCACAACGTCGTGGAGGCTCACCCACTTACTGCTCTTAGGCACCGGTGATACTGTCACGGTGATCTCAAATGTATCAAGAGTGACTGCAGGGCTCTGGAAGTGAGGGTGCAGGGCACAGGGGGGCAGGATGCCCTCAGTCCTTCCAGGAAGGGGGCAAAGGCTTGGGCAGGAATGAATGTAGGTCAACTCTCAGCTGCACAGCTGGTGCTGCAGGCAGGGCTTTGGCTCCTACATCCACAGGTCACTCTTTGAGGGTCAGTGGCTTCTGAGCAGGAAAGGGGTACCCCTGTC